CCCCAGGGCTGTGTGGTCCCCGAGCACTCCCAGGTGTGGCCCCGGAGCCCCCTCTCCGTCCCCCCAGCTAGGCAGCATCACCACATTGCTGGGCCTGAACTTTCCCATAAAGCCAGGCCAGGCATCGCTGTCAGTGACCTCCCCAGACAAAATTAAACACACCCTTGTTCTTGGGTGGGAGAATATCTCTATCAGCTTCCCAATAGTTATCATCCCCATGAAAGTAAAAAACGTTAACATCAAAACATTGACTAATAAAAATAAAAAGAAAAACAAATGAAAAATAAGAGCAAAACATTGACTAATTATTTGACTGCTTAATACACGTTACTTTAAAGCTGCTCTTGGGTCAGTTTGGTTGTTTTTTTTTGGGGAGAGGGTCACACCAGGCGATGCACAGGGGTTACTCCTGGTTCACGCACTCAGGTAGGTATTACTCCTGGCAGTGCTTGGGGGACCATATGGGATGCTGGAAATCGAACCTGGGTTGGCTGTGTGCAAGGAAAATGCCCTACCCACGGTACTATCACTCCAGCCCCATGGTTGCTTTTTTTGAAATTCAATAAAAACCAATTGCATATCAAAAAAGAAAAAAAATATTTAAAAATACTTAAGAAGTTCACGTGGTTGGGACCAGAGAGATAGTACAGTGAGTAGGATTCTTGCCAAGCAGGGTTTGATACCTAGCCTGAGCACCAACAGGTGTGGCCACCCCCGCCCCCCACCAAAAAAATAAAAAGAATTTTATATAATTGATGCACATACTATTGAAGAACTGCTAGAATTGGGTTCAAAGCCACCGACAATGGGGCAGACCTAAATTAACCCAGCTAATGATGCAAAATAGCACAACAAGTAGGGGGTTTGCCTTGCACATGGCCGACCTGGGTTCGATTCCTTCATCTCTCTCGGAGAGCCCAGCAAGCTACTGAGAGTATCTCGCCCACATGGCAAAGCCTGGCAAGCTACCCTTGACGTATTCGATATGCCAAACACAGTAACAACAAGTCTCACAATGGAGATGTTACTGGTGCCCACCTGAACAAATCGATGAACAAGGGGAGGACAGTGCTACAGTGCTTAAGGATTCAAAATAAAGAACCCTGGGGACAGAGACTGGTCAGCAGAGAATTATGAGCAGGGTCGGAGATGGAGCTCCTGCGTCACATATATGGGACCTGGTTCCATCTGCAGCAGCAAAAGGAAGAACGAGATGAGCAAAGAGGTCTTGCATAGTAACAGATGGGAGAGGTGGTGAGCCACCGAGGGCAGGCCGTGAGTTAAAGAGTGAGAGAGAGAGAGCAAGCCAGCTTTCCTCCCGAGGAACTGGACGCTGAATTCAGGAGGGGAAAAAAAAAAGAGAAGGCAAGAATGAGAGTTTTTTTTTACCAAGCAACTACATGAATAACATGAATAACAGCGACATGTATCATGCTGGAAATGGCACATTTCAGAGGGAAAGGGGAGAAATCAAGAGGTTGATTGTTCCACAGTTTTTTGTTTTGTTTTAGAATTTATAAACTGCTTTAGCATCTTTATGGTGTTTGCTCTTGGCTTCCTTTATACTTCTCCTGTCACAAATGGAATACAAAGTGGAAAGAAATGCAAGCACTACTGAAATATGGAGCAGGAAAGTGAAAGTTCCCTCACCACAAATAATTGATAATGCCGCATAGCCTCTAACATTGTGCTCAGGTCGTTGGTTGAATTGCATTAGCATTAGTGTTTGTTTTTAAATTTTTAATTCGTTATAAAAATTTTAATTCAGTCATATATTATGCATAATCTTCTGCTGCACACATTCTCTCCATGTTGGTATATATTCTTTTTATGGCTGCAGAATATGTTATTGTGTTAATCTACTTTGATTTATTTGCCCTTTCTTCATGGATGAGTTATTGGTTCCTGATGTGTTAAGATGTTTTCCTCGGTTCTCATTTTGATTCTGTTATTTTTCTTTTTTCTTTTCTTTTTACTTTTTTTTTTTTTTTTTTTTTTTTTGCTTTTTGGATCACACCTGGCGATGCACAGGGGTTACTCCTGGCTCTGCACTCAGGAGTTACTCCCAGTGGTGCTCAGGGGACCATATGGGAAGCTGGGAATCGAACCCGGGTCGGCCGCATGCAAGGCAAACACCCTACCCGCTGTGCTATCGCTCCAGCCCCTTGCTTCTGGTTTTTAAAATCAAGACTGGCCTAGTGATTTGTCAGGATGCTTCTTCGGCATCTGTTGAAAAGGTCAATTGATTTTTTTTCTTTCTTTTACTCTAATCCCAGTGTTTAATCTCATGGCTCTGGTGTTCCTAAACTGTGTTGGGTTTGTTATTTTGGTTCAATGCCATTGGATATTTTTTTCTTTATGCTTCCTCTGTGGCTATTGTGGTCAGAGATGTCTCCTCAAATTCCTGCCCCTTCCCCCTGGGTTGGAGCAGTCCAGTGAACAGGGCAGGATATCACTGCCACAGTCATGGGGGCTTAGATGGCAAGGTGGTTTTTGCAGATACAGTGAAGGTGACCAACTTCATCAAAAGCAAGCCTTTCTAAGTGGCACTGAGACAATCTTATGGACTCCTTCCAGTCAGGCTCCGGAGAGCAGAGACAAAAATTGGAGACTCAGATCCTGAGCACAGAACTAGGAGTAAGCCCTGAGCACCCCCAGGTGTGGCCTCGAAACCAAAAGCCAAAAACAAAAAGCAAAAAAAAAGAAGGAAAAGAAGAAAGAAAGAAAGAAAGAAAGAAAGAAAGAAAGAAAGAAAGAAAGGAAAAGAAAAGAAAAAAGAAAAGAAAAGAAGAGAAATCTGGAGACTCAGAGGCATTCCTGGGCTAGTTTTGCAGGCTCAGATTGCTGTATGGCCGAGGGGACCACGTGCAGAAAATGAGCAGGGTAAGGTGGCCTACTGGAGCTGAAAACTGCTCCAGTCACAACCCAGCAAAAAAAATAAAAAATAAAAATTAAAAAAAAGCACGGAAGTCCCAAAACCAAAGGGATTCTGATTGTCCCAACAAGCTGGTCATGCTCTTGAAGTAGTTCCTGAGCCTCAGAGGAGCAGGCAGCCGTGCCTGACTCCTGCATTCAGCTCAGGGACCCCCAGAGCAGAGAAACCAGTGAAAACCATCCTAGACATCTGTCCCTCAACAATGACTTTTTTTTTTTTTTTGCTTTTTTTTTCCCCCTCTCGATGCACAGGGGTTACTCCTGGCTCTTGCACTCAGGAATTACTCTTGGCAGTGCTCGGGGGACCATATGGGATGCTGGGAATCGAACCTGGGTCAGCCGAGTGCAAGGCAAACACCCTACCCGTGGTGCTATCGCTCCTGCCCCCAAGCAATGGCTTTTGTTCTTCTCCCAGGCCTTCAGAAGTGCTCATGGCCAGACTCCGGCACCACAAGCCTTACTCATGCTCAGCGTTCTGAAAACTCTTCAAACTACCACTGAGCATTCTCTGAAGCTGTTTCTTTCTCCTTTTTTATTCATCTTTGATGCTGAGCATTGAACTTAGGGTCTCACGTGTGCATGGCATGTGCTCTGCCTTGAGGGCACATCGTAGCTGAAAACTCACCGAAGTTCTAGAATCTCCTCTCTTGTCTCTTTCTGCCAAGACTATGGCCACAGGGACATTGCCTTTCTTTGCTCCCCCAACTCTTATGCCCCCGAGCCTTTAATATTATGTGGTGAAAGGGACACTGCAGGCGAAGTTATGTGTATGAACCCTAAAAGTGGAAGATTATCCTGGATTCCCAGACAGACTCAGTCTAATCACTTGAGTAGGGAAATTCCTCTAACGGGGAAATGCTAGAACATCTCAGAGAGAAAGAGATACGGCAGAAGTCAGACCTTCAAAGCAGGACCAGGGTGTGTGTGTCTGGCTGTGAGGGTGGAGGGGCCAAGTGATCTCCGAAAGATGCAAATCATCCTGTCGACAGCTAGAAGCAAAGCATGCCTTCGGCCCTTCACTGGGAATTGGATTCTTCAACCTGAAGGCACCCCAAAGCAGCTTCTGTCCCCAAATCCCCAGACAGTGCGGGGCAGCCAACTTTTGGACCTAAAGCCTGGAGCAGAGCAACCCGCAGAGCAACTGTGGGCTCACCACTTTGGGTCGTTTTAAGCTGCTAGGATTATGGTCATTTGTTCCAGCAGCCGCAGAAAATGAATAAACCACCTCACGTTCATTCAGTCTCCCCAAAGGTAACATAAATGCATCAGGGATGGAGATGTGACTCTGTGGGGGTTTTCGGGTTTTTTTTATGGGGGGGTTGACTTTTGGTTGTTTCCTGCTGACTATACCTGGAGGTGCTGAGGGTTATTCCCAGGCAGAAATTGGGGTTCACTCCAAGTGGCACTGGGGGCCCATGTGGCATCCAGGACCAAACCAGGGCTCCCACAGGCTCCCGCCCTTTACATCCTCTCCCTGGCCCCCATGAGGGAAAGTACGAAACTGAAACGGAACCCTCCTAGGGACAGGGCAGGAAATCAAAAGATTATATTTAACCCTTTAAAAAGAGGAGTACATCAGGGGCTGGAGTGATAGTACAGCGGGTAGGGAGTTTGCCTTGCATGTGGCCAACCTGGGTTTGATTCCCAGCATCCCATATGGTCCTCTGGGCACTGCCAGGTGTAATTCCTGAGTGCAGAGCCAGGAGTAACCCCTGAGTATCACCAGGTGTGACCCAAAAAGCCACCGCCCCCCCCATAAAAAACAGCAGTACACGTGCCTTAGAAACTCGGCCGTAAGTATGCAGAGACATCGCTGAAAGGTTGGGAAAGCCGTTGGCGCCAGTGAGCGGGAAAGTGGGAAGGAGTCAGGGTTGCTGGGTTCATGTTCAGCCATGGTGAGAAAAAGGGGGTTCTTCAGATGCACACACCCCTATCCTCCCACCCCCACCCCACAGCATCCAGTTAGGGAGTGAGCCTCTCCGCCCTGCCACCAGGACCCCCAGCAGGTGGGTGGGGGCCGTCTCTGCCTCTGGGGGCCCGTGGCAGCTGCCGTCTCCCATCCCCAGGGTGGAGGAGAGCAACCACAAGCTGCTGGAGTCAGAGCGGCAGCGGCAGGAAGAGCGGCAGCGTTCCGTGGTTCTGGAGCAACACCTGGAGAAGATGCGTCTGGAGCCTGTGCGGACGGCGGCGCCCCAGAGAGCCGCCTCCCGGAGCAGGACAGGTGGGGGCTGCCTCAGGCCCTGGGGGAGGGTGTCAGGAGCCGCAGACACCATCGAGGGGGAGCCCGCCTGGCTTGCCCCATGGGTGGCCTCCACCCAGGATCCCCTGGTTGAAAGTAGAAGCCCTAGAACGCTGTTGGCCAAGGGAGCCCTGAGCAGAGAGAAGAGGATCGAGGCCCCCAGCCCAGCCCACCCCTCTGCCCTCAGCCTCTCAGCTTCTGGGGAGACCAGAGCCCCAGGGACTAGCCAGAGGGAACTGGCCAGCGAGAATCCCATCTGCTCTGCCTTGGGGCTCGAACGTGCCCTGTCCACGACCCCAATCTCTGCTCCAGACCCCACCCCACGCCCAAAGCGCCTCTTTCTTGCTCTTGGATGGCCGTGTCCACCAGGACCAGGCTGGGCGCTGTAGCTTGTCAGGGTCCGACCCTGAGGTCAGCAGTGCCACTCTGCTTCCATCCCACTGGCCGCTCCTGCACCAGTCCTGGCTGTGGGGAAGCAAGCAAGTCCCAGAGCTCTGACCCCATCCATGGCTCTCGGGGTTCAGACTGTGGGGCTGACTCCCGGCGGGGAGAACCTCCAGTGGGGACAGGCCAGGTCTGCCCCCTCCTGGCGTCCCCAGCCCAGCCCGTCGGGGCTCTGGGCAGGCAGAAGCACTGCCTGCCATTGGGCACACAGGACCACCCCCGCCCCAGCAAGGACACTCGGGGCTTTGTTCGCAGCCTGCAGGAGATTTGAAGGGTGTCCCAGAGTGGGGCCCAGTGGGGGGCTGTGCCCTTCTGGCTTCTCCCACCAGCAGGGCCCGTGGCCTTCTGGGAGCTTCTGAGAACCGTCCTGTGGGCGGCCGGGTCCCAAGCACTGAGGCCCCAGGCATGGCAGAGTGTGTCACCTGGCTCTTTCAGTCACAGGGCCGGGGCAGAGCTGCTGTGTCCGTGTGGCCTCTGTGACCCGGGGAGAGCACTGTCCCTCTCGGGGGAACAGAGCACCAGGCCAGGGGGATTGGGTCCTTTGTGGCAGTTTCACCTGCAGGGCCGAGAAAGGCAGGAAACCAGGACAGGTCAGAGGCGAGGAGCGAGGAGCTGAGAGCCACTGTTGTCTACGGGGGTGACCAGGAGAGGACAGTGGACACCTGATCTGGGAGGGTGGGGTGAGCAGGGGGTGCAACCTACAGTGTCTGGGGGAGGCGTGCAAGCCAAGGTCCTGGGGCCGGGCTCAGTGACGGGATGGGATGGGACCATGAATGGGGCAGAGAGCTCCCTCGCCCTACACACACACACACACACACACACACACACACACCCCGCAACAGCCTTTAGAGCCGGTGTGTGTGTGTGTGTGTGTGTGTGTGTGTGTGTGTGAGAGAGAGAGAGAGAGAGAGAGAGCCAGGGTGCAGACGGAGCAGGCAGGGCGGGGCAGGGAGGAGAGCAGCGCAGACACGTTCACGGCCACCCCATGACAGAACGTGGCCTCTGCTCCCCCACGCAGGTCAGCCCCCCGCCAGCAGCAGACGCGACTCGAGTGGGAGCGAGAGGAAGGAGCCCTCGCTGGCCCAGCTCTCCGGGGTGCCCCTGGAATCCCAGCTGGAGGAGCTGACCGCCAGGTGCGCTGTTGCCCCCGTACGCCCGTCTGTCCATCCGTCTGTGCCCCCACGCAGTGCCTGGGGCGGACACAGCATGTGCCGCCCCCTTCCACTCCCATTTCCCGCTGGAGATGGGGTCTTTGGGGCCTGGGCCCCGGCCCTGCCACCCAGTGGATCCCAGAGGGTGGGGAACACCTCCTAGTTCCAAGAGAAATTTCCTTGAGCTGGACGGCCACCCCCTCTCTTCCCCCGACCCTGGCCCCTTCCGACTGTGTCTCCATCCTGCTAGTTGACTGCCAGGTCTTGTGCCATGACCTCTCCACACACACACACAACCCCCCCACCCACCCATTTACATGTTTTTCACCTGCAGCCCCCTTGGGGCCTCCAGAAGGGCTCACAGGGGAGCCATCCAGCCCCTGGTTGAGAAATGCAGAGTTCAACCCTTTGAGTTCTGTTTTCCATGATTTTTGTTATTTGAGCGAGGAGGCCTCCCCACAGTACCAGGGCCATCAAGGGTACTCAGCAGTTCCAGAGGTCAGAGCCCGGCCCTGTGCCTTCCAGGCATTGCTCCAGACGGCTGAGCGCAGCCTGACCTCCCCTCAGGCTGATGTAGTCACTGGACAGGAAGGAGGGGGCGCTTAGCATCCAGCACTCACCCTCAAGGCAGCTGGCACTGGGGGGCTACCCAGGACCCAGGTAGGAGCCCCGCCCCGCGTGGTGGTGTTCCAAGGGTCCATGGGAGGAGGGGGTGGAGCCTCAGACCCCTGACCCCACACACGCCCCAGCCGGCTCTGCATGCTGACCGTTGTCTCCCCTACCCCAGGCTGGCCATCCAGGTGGAGGAGAACGAAATGCTGAGGGCGGCCCTGGGCAGCGCCCTGCAGGGGAAGGAGGAGGACATCCGGATGTACCATGAGACCCTGGGCCAGGTGAAAGGGGTCTTCCTGCAGGCCCTGCGACAGCAGAAGGTGGACAAGCGCTAGCCTGAGGCCGCGGCCCCCAGGACTTCGTCTGTGCCCCAGGTCCGGGGCCTCTAGCTGAGCCCCTTCTCCGGGAGGAGGCTCCTCCAGGATGACCAAAGCGGACATCTCGGGCCAGAACAGAACTCCCAAGGACCCTCCCACAGCTGCTCACTGCCCTGCCCCCGAGCCCGCGGGGGGCCTGCGTGCCACACACCCGTGCCACATGCGCGAGCGAGCCCTCGGTGCTGGGGCTGGGGGCGCCCTTGGGGTTCCCAGCCTCCCATTCCCTCCTCCCCCACTCCCTCTGTGCACACACCCACCCTCGGCAGACTTGGGGCCGGCTCGCTCCCTGGCCCCCGTTAGCCCCTGTTCCTCAGAGACAGACCCTCCGACCTGTAATAATAATGATTCTTCTCACGACCACCACGGCCCGTGGACTCCGCTGTAAGGACCCTGTGCACAGGGCCCTCCCGCCGGCCAGGCCACTGGGGCCCTGTTTGCCAGAGGCAGAGACTGAGGTTCCCTCCACAAGCCGTTGTCCTCAGCTCCCGCACTCACTGCTTGCAGAGGCACCTTCCGTGGCTTCCGTGCCCGCCACTGGTGGGTACTGGCTGGTAGGCGGCAGAGGTGGCCAGTGCCGTGGATCCGGGCAAGAGGGTCTTGAGGCAGAAAACCCCTTTTTGACTACCCAGAGCTGAGCTGTGCAGGCAGGGCTGCCGCCAACCCAGACCCTCCCCCCCACCACCACCACCATCACCATCATCACTGTCACCATGCCAGCCTGTGGCACCGGAGGCCACCTACTGCCGCTCACCCCAGCTCCAGACACCCCGAGCACGCACAGGCCCCCCAGAGAGCTGCACGCAGATGCCAGCGCTCACACACATTGGCTCAAGGACAGTCCAGGTGCCAGAGAAGAGCCTGAACTCTTCTCGTGTCTGTGCAAGTGCCATGTGGCAGATCAGAGACCCATAGAGCCACAGAGTGACTCCTGCGTATGCTTCCATTGCACACGCCTCGCTCAGGCCAGCCAGGGTCGGGGCGCATTTCCACCTGCAGAGTTCCCAGGCAGCCCCGAGAGCTGCTGTGGAGCTGTGTGCCGGGGGTCAGCACCCCCAGCTTAGACCAGGTCACCCCACACCTCCCCGGACCCTTCCAGATCCAGCAGTTAAAAGTGCCCCCAGGAAAAGGGTCAAGTGCACAAGAGGACATGGTGAGCTCTCGGGGTGACACGGTCAGCTCAGCAGCCCTGCCCCCGGCCTGGGGGTGGCGTAGACCCCTTTCCAGGTCCCTGATCTCCAGGAAGCCCCAGGCAGCCTCTCTTCTGCTGGGGGCTCCCAGCAGGACCCCATGTAGTGGGCGGGGTGGGGAGGGGGAGGGAAGGGGCCCCCATGCACAGACAGAAGGCAGCCCCTCGGCACCTCCCACCTTCCCTGCTGCGGCTCCCAGGCGCTCTGCCCAGATCTGGGGGGACCATCTGCCCTTCAGCAGTCCCTGGGGTGGGGGCGGGGAAGGGGGGAGGGGATGCCCAGGAGCTTCTGGGAACATGATTTGCTATGGAAGAGGCTAAGTAGGGGCCCCCCTGCAAGCTTTAAGCCAGGCAGGCAGGTTGCAAGCAGTCCCTTGTGAGCAGCATCCTCAGCCCTGAGGCAGGGGGACCGCAGGTGGGCAGGACTGGCCCTTCTCAGAGGACACCAGGGCCCTGGCGTGGGGGTGCCGGGACTCAAGGGCAAAAGGAGAGGCCGCTGGTGGGAGCCTCACGTGAGTCTCCCTGGCTGCACCCCAAGCAGGTGCTGCCGTCCAGGTGCTCAGGTTCCAGCACTGACAGGTGAGACCTGGTTGAGCCATGGGCGGAGCTTGGCCACTGTCCCCTTGGGTTGGGGCTGGGTACCACCGCTGAGCCGGCAAGCTTGCTGCCTGCCTCCAGGCCACTCACGCCCCACACAGACTCCCTAGGGGGTCCCTCCTGTGCCCCCTGGCTCCAGGGTGGCCTACAGGAGGGGGGTCACTCTCTGGGCCCCTGACATTCAGTGGTCAGAACCGGAACCCATGGCCAGCCCACAGAGAAGTCTCTGCCCACCCTTCTCCACTGACATTGCTTCTCCTTCAGTCCTGGAGCCTTGCCAGAACACGCGCTCAGGCACACACACACACACACACACACACACACACTGCACACAGCACCAGCATACACACCACACCCACGATGTACACAGCACATAGTTGCCACACAGCAGACTCACACAAGCCAGCGTAGTGATGCACACACAGGAAATGTCCTCTGCACTGTTCAAGCTACTGTGAAAGGAGAGCAGAGCAGGGACTCAGACAGAGAGAGCCACTCTCCTCCCCGTCTGGTCTCTCCCTGCAGCCCTTGAAGCTGGGCCCCAGTCCAGGTGCTGGTCTAAGCCCCATCAGCTTCCTCTCCCCGGCCTTGTGGGATAGATTTGTCAGGTGCCACTCCCATCCCCACACCCTCCCAACTCCCAGGCTAGCCAGCCCCATGTTCCAGGGTATGCATGCATGCACACACACACACACACACACACACACACACACACACACACACATACACACGCTTAGACCATCCCCCAGGCCAGCCAGCCCCCCAGTGCACACACACACACATACACACACTCATACACATACTCAGACCAACCCCTAGATCAGCTATCCCCACGTCCCAGCACGCACACACACACACACACACACACACACACACACACATGCACCATATACACCAACCCCTGGGCCAGCCAGCCCCATGTCCTAGCACACACACACACAAACGCACACACACACACAAACACACACACACACACATATACACGCACACCACCCCCTAGGTCAACTAGCCCCACGTCCCAGACACATACACCACACACACACACACACACACACACACACACACACAACCAACCCCTGGGCCTCCTAAGTGCTCCCCTTCCTCCTGCCACCGCCCTTCTCCTCAGCTCCCTGCAGCCTCCCACTGTGTGGCGTCTCCCATGAACATCGGCGTGGATGGTCCTGTCCCTGGGTCTCAGGACTGAAGGGTCCGTGTGTTCCCCCTGCCCCTCTCCATGCAAGCCAGGCCTTCATCGTGAAGGGAGGTGTCAGAGGGTCCCGAGAGCCCAGAAGCAGGGTGGGAGTGAGCACTTACAAAGGGGTCTGCAGGGGCCTCCCTCAGCCTCTCAAGCAGGGAGGGGAGAGAAACACATCCCTAAGGGGTGTGGAAACACTTTCTTTTGAAAACTTGGCGCTTTCTGGGTCACACCCAATGGTGCTCAAGGATCACTCCTGGCTCTACACGCTATACTTGGATGAACTTACAGCTGGGGCTGGCAGTGCTCAGGGGACACGTGGTGCCAGGGATCTAACCTGGGTCCACCACACGCAAGGGCAGGTGCCCTACCTGTTGTACTGTCTATCACTCTGCCCCCTAGAGACATTTTCAAAAATGAAACATCCAGCCCTAGAAACACCCCTGGCTCCCATCATGAACTTCCCTCTCCTCTAAAGAGCTTTAACTCAGCCTCTGCGCTCTGCTCAGGAGCCCCCTGTTTCAGGAGGACCCCCTGGTCCTTGGTAGTATGGACCCTTCTCAGGTCCTGGCCGCCCCTGGTGTCCATTGCGGACCTCCCCCAGCTTGCTCTACTTGCTTGTCATCGTGCTCGAGATTCCTCCTCAGGGCCCCGGAGGTAGCAACTGGGCTGCCATGTGTGGACTGTGCAGGGCACGTGTGGGGTGCTGTTGGTGCTGGGCACTGCTGGGCACTGTGGGGAGGGCACTGAACTGCCTCCTCCCAGCCCGCAGGGCTGTGCTCCGCTCCAGGGAGCTTGTCACCAGCAGGCAGTGTGGGAAATCAGGTTCTCCTTCTCTGGCCTGAAGCGCCCCTGCTGGTAAGGAAACCTCCTCCCCTTGCCTTGGCTGAGTGTATAGCTGGGGCTGGGCTCAGCGGGGTGGCCTGTCACTCCACTTCTCCAATCCTGGAGACCCTGGCCCCTTGCCAAAGCACGAGCATACCCCTCAACACGGCACAAGTACCGTGTCAGCAGCCCCAGGCTCTGAGGGGTGCTTCCTGGGGACCGTCAAGAGCTGTTTCCCTCATAGGGCCTTCCCCATAACTGTCCCGCCGTTGCTGCCCCCGGAGGAGTCCCCATTGGCTGGGGGCCCGTCATCCTCAGGCGGATGCCAGCCACTCTGGGCGCCCACTCCACCTTACTGAGCCTGCTAGCCCCCAGGACAGGTCCCTATGGGAGAGGGCTGGAATGCAGGGACCCCCTCAGCCACACCTCATGCCACTTCCAATCCAACTAAGCATCTCAGCCCCCCGACCCCATGCCAATGCCTGGCCAGCCAACACTGGCCAAGATGACGTGGCCCAGGGGTCTGTCTCAATCAGCACTCAGGGTCTCAGGCCAACTGTCGGCTCAAGTTCAAGGAGCTGAGCATTCAGGTGTGTGTGTGTGTGTGTGTGTGTGTGTGTATGTATGCAAATGTACCTGTGTGAATGTGTCTGTGTGTGTGTGTCTGCATGTGTGGAAGTACCTGTGTTTGTGTCTGTGTGGGTATACCACCTCTGTGGTGTATCTGTGTGAGTTTGCCTGTGTGAGTGTGCCTGTGTGTGTGGGTGTGCCTGTGTGTGAGTTTGCCTGTGTGAGTGTGCCTGTGTGATTGTGCCTGTATGTAGGTGTGCCTGTGTGAGTTTGTCTGTGTGGGTGTGCCTGTGTGAGTGTGCATGTGTGATTATGCTTGTGTGTGAGTGTGCATGTTTCTGTGCCTGTGAGTGTGCCTGTAAGTGTGCATGTGTGTGAGCATGCCTGTGTGAGTGTGCCTATGTGTGAGTGCGCCTGTGTGTGTGTCTGTGTGGGTGTGCCTGTGTGTAAGTGTACCTGTGTGAGTGTACCTGTGTGTGAGTGTGCCTGTGTGAGTGTATATATGTGTGACTGTGCCTGTGTGTGTGCTTGTGTGTTAGTGTGCTTGTGTGTGAGTGTGCCTGTGAGTAAGTGTGCCTGTGTGCGTGCCTGTGTGAGTGTGCATGTATGTGAGCATGCCTGTGTG